ATTTCTCCTTCTCCTTCTCCTTCTCTCTAGCTGCATTCTTGCAGCCATTGAGAACTACTGTGTAAGCTGTGATTGGTCGCAGCTTGTCACATGGTACAAGGCAGTTGTGAATAGCCTTGTACCATGTGACCTCTGTGATCATTCACAGATTTCACACGTAGTTAGCAATGATGTCACAAGTGACATCTTGCCTACTACTCTGCATGTGATTGGCCAATCAGTGATCACATGATCGGGACCTCACGCAGAGGTCCCGTCCGACGAACGGTGTTCCACTGTGTCCGGAGGATACAGTGAGCACCGATCGCGGTACTGCTCGCTCCCAGGGAGCGCGCACAAGCAGGGTGCGGGGAGGCCGTTTATAAAGTGACAGTCGGCCCTCCCATTAAAGCCCCACCAGTCCCTTTCCCCTTCATTATTTAAACTGACACCTTTACAGGAATATTTATTACAAAATAAATACATGTATTGATAGTAACTTTCCCACTTTGTGTCTATATTGATGTATGTTAATGTGCCTCTCCTCCTTCTACAAACCTGTGTTGCCATCTTGCTTCATAGACATCATCAGTGATTATCTTCTTTAGCGTTTTTGCTGCCAGCCCAGTGATTTTATCAGTGCCAGATCACGTGCATGTGCTGTTCTAGATCTGGGGCTGTCTTCTATTGTTCAAAGTATCGATTTAGCCTTCCTAGGTGTTCGCTATGAAGGACCTGGTTATGTTGCCAGTGCCTATATGGATCAGGATGTGGAATTACAATAAAAAAAAAGGAGCAAAAATGTATTTTGCTATCAACATGAGCTGCTGATATCGTCGATTTATTTGTGTGGGGTTTCTTTTGGGGGGGTGTTTAACATCTGCAAACTGGAGAAAAAGGACGCATCAAAGGCTTTATGAAAGATACTCCGTTTTCCAAAAGCTATATAGCTGTTTTCTGCATACTTTGCTCTAATACAAACTTAAGTTTTTTGTATGCAAGGTCTAAGAAAAAAAAATCATCCAGAGCTATATCCATGTGACTGTCTAGTAAGATGGCCTTAAGATTAGTAAGGTTGCTCGACACCATACCTTACTGTGGTTTGTGCCATGTTGTGTTACCAGGTCATCGTAAACCTATTGGGCAGACTAGTTTTTCTTTAGGTTTTATCACTAATAACATTTCTAGGTATCCCAGCTGTTTTCTCTGATAAAACTATACATTTCTAACCTGTATGCAATCATATTGAATCATTTTGTATAGTTCGAGGAGTCCTGTGTTTCCGTAGCAATGTTTAGTCACAAATATGTGATCCTGCTTTCTTGCATGCAAATGTAACCTTTGTTTCTCTGTTGTCCATTGAGGGACACAGCTTAGGGTTATACTGCGGCTCACAGGACAAATGGGTACTAGGCTCATGGAAAACTGACAGCTTTTCCCTTGAGGCTATAACTCCTGTTACACCAGACTTTCTCATTTTCGCCTAAGTGTCCTTAGAAAAATAGATGCCTCTTTCCCTTTTTTCACTTTGGCTTTTCTAATACCCACAGCTCCCAGTAGATTGTGGCCGGGTATTGGAAATCCTAGAAGTCTTTCCAGTTATCCAGTGAGCACAGGTTTTCCCAATTTATTAAGTATACTTGTGGTCTCTCTGAGAGAGTTTTGTATTTGGCATTGACACGCCCACATAGCAGAGCACTCTAATTCAGGTCAGATCAAAAAATGTCAAGGTTTTTATTCTGTTTAATGTTCCAAAATCCAAAGGAGGGGTTTGTATCCATCAACATAATTGATGCATATTTAGATATTTCCATTTTCCACGTCATCAATGATTACATTTTTGGAATACCTGCGCCTTCTCCTGGATGCCTTTCAGGCCAAGGTCTTTCAATCCCAGGAGATATTCAGGTTCAAAAATTGTAACCCTAATGTTGGTCTTCTCCACAAATCTGTATGCTAGTGCTGAGATTAGTGGTATTCACCATCAAATCAGTCCCATTGCCCTCCATACATTCTGAAACTTTGTGATGGCCCATTCTCACAGTGTGGGACAACTGCAGTTTTTCTTTGAACAAGCTGATTTGCTTACGTCAAATCATGTCTCTGTCAGGATGGATAGAGTCCTTGGCATTGTCAGAGGACATGTTTTTTTTTTTTTCTTCCCTTGCACTGGACAATTGTCATGATAGACATCTATCTTTTGAGTTGGAACAGAGTTCTGAGCTGTCTGTCTATTCAAGTTTCTGGTATAAGGAAGAATCAACTCTTCCATCAACACTTTAGAATTATGGTCAATACATCTGTCATTGCTTCTCTTAACCTTTTTTCTATTTTGACCGATCTCCCAGGTCAGGTTCAATCAGACAGTGCCACTGCAGTGGATTATGTCCATCATCGGGGGTTGGAGTGTTGCTGCAGCAATGGAGGTAGTCTATTTTTTGTCCTAGGTGGAGTTTCATGTGCAAGCTATTTCGGTGAGAACATTCCCAGAGTGAAAAAACTGGCAGGCAGAGATTTTCCACAGACAGCATCCAGACCCAGGATAATTAGTTTTTTCTTTCATCTGGAGGTTTTCTGGAACATATACCTGCAGTGGGGTATGATAAGTGTGGATTTCCTAGCTTCTTAGTTCAACCAGAAACTGGACAGGTTTTTTTTTTTCCAGAATGTAGCGCAAAACAGCAGATGGAGCAGGTGCATGCATTCCCTTCGGTAAAACCTTTTCTTCCAATGCTGAGAACTGAGAACATTCCAGTCATTCTCATGCTCCAGTTCAGCCTTGGAACATAGTATCCTACCTTTGTTTGTCTGGTAGCTGACACTCCATATAGGGGGGCTCTGAAAACACCTCTACGGCCGATATGAAAAAAAAAGCACCAATACATGTGCTGAAAAAAACCCCACCACTGCCGCCCCTCGCTTCTGCCCGCTCGCCGCTGCTGCCTCCGTCTGCTGCTCGATAGTTCTCAGCCTTACCTGAGAAACCATCAAACAATCCCGGCGCTGGGCATAGAGAATAGTGAAGGAAAGATGGCCTCCACTCATCTCTATGCCCTTGGAGGACCGGAGTGATGTCACTTCCAGTCCTGTTTTTTTTTTTTTTTTTTTACAGCACTAATCAATGCCTTTTTTTTAATCTAATGCTTTTCATTGTAGAGGAGAGATGTGGGGTCTTATTGACCCCAAATCTCTCCATAAAGAGGAACTTGTGATAGGAATAAAAGTGATTATATATTTTTTTAAAGGGACAGTGTAAAAAAAAAAAATTAATCAAAAAAAAAGTTTAACGTGCCCCCGTCCCCCCATGCACGTAGTGGTGAACGCATATATAGGTCACGCCCACATATGTAAACGGTGTTCAAACCACACAGTGAGGTATCGCCTCGAACATAAGAGCAATTATTCTCCACGAGTGTGCGCAATTTTAAAGTGTGACATGTTGGGTATCTATTTACTCGCCGTAACATCCTCTTTCATATTTTACACAAAAGAAATTGGGTATATACTGTGTTTTTTTTTTTTTTAATCAAAGTATACTTTTTTCCAAAAAATATATTTTCATTTTTAAAAACTGCACATTTCGGTTTCAGTTTTCGGCCAAGTGCATTTTGAATTTTTGTTTTCGGTTTCGGCACCAGAATTTTCATTTCGGTGCACCACTAACTCCATAGCCTTGACCAGATCTGTTACCGCAACTATCAATTTTTACTCTAACTGTGGAATTTAAATCTTGTACTGTCAGTGTTATAAAGATCCTAATCAATCCAATTTGGGACATTTTCTCAACTATGTTATCCTTTCTTGTGGCTGTCTGTTCGACCACACACAAACATTTTAAAAATATCAGCATCTTCTGGTAGGCCCAATTGACTCTACATCACATTAGAATATTGTGTTACCCTACCTGTGTCCTGCACTGATTCTCCTCATGGAGTTGCTCTCCATTTCCTGGATGTGTTGAGGGCAGTCAGATTTATCTTTTTTTGTTTTTACAGAAGGTCTTGAATAAGAATTGTCTTTTTTTTTTTTTTTTTTTACTGGTACATGAGCCTCACCTCCCTCTCTGCATTCCTTCTGTTGGTGCTTGCCTCAGGCAAGTGCTGGAAGCCAGAGACAGGCACTCACTAGTAAATCAGCCCTCCCTTGCTGGCTGCAGTGAACACACTTTCTCTAAGCTCTACTAGGTCAACATGTCTGCCTTCGTAGGTGCTAGTTTGGGTTGAAACATTCTGTTATTTATTGTTCGTGTTTTTCTTCTTTCACCTTTTCTTGTTGGGCTGGTTTGCCTTTGTTATTTGGTATGCCCGCCTCTCAGTTTGGACTGCTTTTAGTTGTCCCTAGATTTTTTTTACTATCAATCGGGTTCCTCAGTGAATGGTAGAGAAAATAGGATTTTTGTAAACAGTATAAAATCGTGTCCTCTGAGTTCATTGAGTGACATCTCTAGCCTCATATGCTATTGCTCTCTATTTAACCCTGGTTTACACCCGGTGCGACTTGTCATGCAATTTGACAGTTTCACATCGCATGACAAGTTGCACCCACTTGTCCACAATGGAACCGTTCAAATCGGTGCAACTCCGACTCCCTTGGAGTTGTACCAATTTTGAAAGTAGTTCCTGCACTACATTTTGCGATTTCAGGTGCGACTTGCATAGAAGTCGCACAGATGTCTTCCAAGCTGCACTGACATGCGAATTTTAAGTCGTGCTACTTAAAGCGAAGTTGCACGATTTCAAAGTCTGATTCAATGTGTATCTGGGCTTAGACTGCTTGCTACAACTGACCAGGTGGGGGGGGGGTTATAGCTTCAAGGGGGCTGACCTTCAGTTTTCTATGTGCCTAGTGTTCATTTCTCATTTAGGCACCTTTGTAATGCTAGGTTTCTGGGTATTAGGCTGTGTCGTCCATGGACTCCTGGACTTTGAGAAAAGGACTTTACAGTCTACAGTACACAAATCCTATTTTTTTCCTGTGCCTTTCATTTAAACTTTTACATTATATGTTTATTTTTTTATCATCATTACAGATCTATAATTTATCCCAAAATATACAAGAGGATGATCTACAACAGCTGCAGGTGAGTGTATCATTATTCTCCATTAACAGTGTGCTCTTTTTATGTTCAGTCAGTGAAAGAAATCTCCTGAACAGTGTTTATCAATCTCAAGAGACTATGTTGCTAAACTTGCATTCCTACACTGGCAAACACTGCTCAGATGAAGAAAAATCCCCCCCCCCAAATCTCTTCCCTGTCTCTACTAAACCTGGTAGAGGTCAGCGGAATTCAATAGAACAGTGTTAGTGTCTGATGTCTTCTGTACAAGGGCAGCTTTTATGTATAATTCAGTTTGCCAACGGTTACTTTAAAGCTGCGTTAGTGTCTTCCTATGTAAGGCTTCATTAACTTCCATGAAAAATAATGTGTTATTGGATGTGAAAAATCAAGTATAGGGCAAGAGTACAAAACTGAGACTTTAGTATACAGAGGTTTAGTGGGTGTACAGTATGAAGCTTATTAATGTTTAGAGGAACTCAAGATATAAGGGTTCATGTTTTCATTTCTCTTGCCATTCTTCAGCTTTTTACTGAATATGGACGACTGGCTATGGATGAGATCTTCTTGAAGCCCTTTCAAGTAAGAATTTAGCAAGATGTTAATCTGAGATTAAATAATTTTGCAATTCGTATTATTATTATTATTATTAGAAAAAGCTTGCCTGTTCAAAAATGAATAGTTTAGGGATATTACAAACCGTGCTGATGAACTCTTAGGCAAGCCATAGATGATTTGTTTTTCTTTCCTGCAACCACGTGTCCAGGGAGCAGAGAAACACAGCTGCTTCCATTGTGTACTAGTGTTTGGTGCAGATTTGTCTTGTCTTTTTGTTTTTATGCCGTTTCACATTAACTGTGGTTCATGATAAGTTATTTAATGCCTTCCCTCACCAAGTAGTCCATCTTATCTTTCTTTATAATTTTTTGTGGACTGAAGTGAACAAAGTGGAGAACTTTATCTGTATTGTTCCCGTAAAATGCTAGATTTCACCAGTAGGTGGCACTGCTGGTTAAACCTGTGATTGTAGTAGTCCCTGAGCCCAGCAGAACCCATGTACAGACTGTAGATGCATACCCCATTTGTCCTTGTAAAACTGTTTTTACAACTACAAAATAAGTGCTAACATCCTATATTCTTCGCTTTTCTATATGCATAAATGACATAAGCATCTTTTGGCTACGTAAAGGTGCCCTGCTGGCTCCCAGATTTGACTAACTGGTTTCTGTATTGTGCATTTTGTCCAGCCACTGCATCTTTTATTATATTTAGAAAAACTGGGTCAGCAGTTTAAAATTTATATGTAAAACAATGCATTTTAATAGTCCCATGATTTAAAGCGGAACAGCACTGAAAACAAAGCTGCTGTTTGATTACTTTTAATATTCAGAGCAAGCTCACCCATCCATCCACGTCTCCTTACTTTATTTTACTGGTAAGTCACTTTGAAAAACACCCCCCTAGCATTTCTGGCCGTGGCCATCTTGATTAAGGGCAGGTGATTCTTGTAGCATTTACTTCCTGGAGTCCATCTGCCCTTAGCTCAGACATGCAAGCAGGTGAGTGTGCTTAGATAAGAAAACCCCTCTTCCATACTGAAGACTCTTGGGATGCATGACATTTGCCTAGGCACAGAAGCCGGGAAGTAACTAAAGAAATGTAAAAAAAAAAATTTAAAAACAAATAAATACAGTTGGTTACATATATATCTATGGACACAGGCACAATGTTCATACTTTTGGTTCTGTATGCCACCAAAATCAATTAAAACAAAACAATCCAAATGAATTTGAAGTGCAGTCTTTCAGCTTTAATTCAAGGGGTTGAACAAAAATATCAAGTACAAATTTTAGGAACTGCAACCATTTTTATACACAGTCCCTCCATTTTCAGGGGCTCAAATATAATTGTACAAAAGATATAATCATAAAATAAAATGTGCATTTTTAATAATTTGTTGAGAATCCTTTACTGTCAATGACTGCCTGAAGTCTGGAACCCATGGACATTACCAAAGACTGGGTTTCCTCCTTTCTGATCCTTTGCCAGGCTCTAACTGCAGCTGTCTTCAGTTGTTCTTTGTTTGTGGGACTTTCTGCTTTTAGTTTTGCCTTCAGTAAGCAAAATGCATGCTCAATGGGGTTGAGATCATGTGATTGACTCGGCCATTGCAGAATATTCCACTTCTTTTCATTCAAAAGCTCCTGGGTTGCTTCTGCAGTGTGTTTTGGATCATTGTACATCTGTACTGTGAAGCATCGGCCAATCAATTTTGCTGCATTTGGCTGAATCTGGGCTGACAGTATATTTCTATACACTACAGAATTCAATCGGCTGCTTCTCTCTCATCATCAATAAACACCAATGACCCAGTGCCACTGGAAACCATGCATGCCCATGCCATCACACTGCCTCCACCATGTTTTACAGATGACATTTTGTGCTTTGGATCATGAGCTACTTCTCCACACTTTTTTCTTCCTGTCATTCTGGTACAGATTAATCTTAGTTTTATCCATCCAAAGAATGCTTTTCCAGAACTGGTCTGGCTTTTTTAGATGTTTTTTGGCAAAGTCTAATCTGGCTTTTCTATTCTTCAGGCTTATGAATGGTTTGCACCTTGTGATGAACCCTCTGTATTTGCTCTCGTGAAGTCTTCTCTGGATTGTAGACTTTGAAAATTATACATTCACCTCCTGGAGAGTGTCCTTCACTTGTCTGGATGTTGTGAATGGGGTTTTCTTTACTATAGAGAGGATCCTGTGGTCATCCACCATTGTTGTCTTCCGTGGACGTCCATGCCTTTTTATGTTGCTGAGGTCACAAGTACGTTCTTCTTTCCTCAGAATGTACCAAACTGTTGATTTGGCCACTCCTAATGTTGCTGCTATCTCTCTGATGGATTTGTTTAGTTTTTGAAGCTTTACAATGGCCTATTTCACTTGTATGGACAGCTCCTTTGAACACATGATGTAGATTCACAGCAATAGATTCCAAATGCAAATACCACACGAAGACTGGCCATACACTATACAATTTTCTTACAGTTTTTTGTCCAATTTCTGCCCAATTTCCTTTAGATTTACCTCCAACTATGTAGTGCAAGAGCCTGCCTAATTGGATACATTTGAAAGTGTTGTTTTTAGGTTTGACCTCTTATTGTATGGTTTTTGGTAAATCTAAAGCAAATTTCTCAAGAAAATTGTATAATGTATGGCCAGCTTTAGAATCAACTCCAGACCTGCTTAATTGATGAAGAAATAACGAAGGAGTAGTCCACACCTGGCCATGAAACAGCTTTTGATTCAATTGTTCAATTACTTTTGGTCCCTTGAAAAAGGGGGGATGGCTACTCTTAAGAGCTGTAATTCCTAAACCCTTCCTCCAATTTGGATGTACAGTACATACCCTCAAATTTAACCTGAGAATGTGCACTTTCAACCCATATCCATTCTATAACTAGCTTGAATATGTTTTGGTAAATACCTACAAAAAAAAAATTGTGCCTGTGTCCAAATATATATGGACCTAACTGTATTTACTAATTCTACTAATGATAGCAGCATAGGGATTAAACATAGTCGATGTTGATTGAGAAAGTGAAGTTCCTCTTTAACAACAATGTATTTTTGTTTGCATTGCTTATTTTTGACAGTTATCTTGAATAACGGGATCTGCTGAAGCTTCTTGGTCTATACTTTTTATAGTTCTAAGACTTTTGAATGCGCGGTGAATGTATTCTTATTATTTTTATTTAAGATGTGTTTTTTATATATATATATATATATATATATATTTTATATACTGCAGCTATTTAATCTAGATTTTGTCTATTTATGTGTTGTCTAGCTTTGTGTCAAACTCTGAAAATACACATACAAATAAGGCCTCCTGCACACTGGCATATTTATGCAGCCAGCGTATTCCAGCTGCAAGAATCAGCAGATTCTTGCTGCTGCAATGACTGGGGCATGCAAATAGCAGATGCTCAGCCTACTTACTGTAAACTAATGACAGGCTGAAGGTGACTGTCATTCACATGTAACCGCACATAGAACAGTTAGCGGTTAGATGGATTTCCGAGCTGTACTTATATCCCTAACCACAACTAACTGCTCTGGGTGTGGCTACATGCGAGCAGCAGCTGCTGTCAGCCTGTCATTCATTTTAAAAAGGCAGAGAGGTTGCTGTTATTCACATGTGACAGTCATTCCAGCCACAAATTCCCCCTCCTGGACGTGTTCCCCAAGCCTCAGCTGGAAATTAAGGCTCTAGGCATCCTTTTCTGCCCTGGGGATTACCCCAAACGAAATTGGGAGCGCAGGCTGGAGGATGCAACCTGGAAGGTGTCCTTAAGGGAAAGAGTGAGCCTTGTCAAAACGTACCTGATGCCTGAGTTTTTGTATGTCAGCTACGTATGTCTTATGCCAGCCTCTCTCTATGCACGGGTCTGTAGTCTATTCTTCCTGCTACTGTGGGGGAACAGACTGAATCTGATCAAGAGGAAGGTCACGTATCTATGGAGAGAGCTAGGTGGGTTGTACATGGTCCACCCAGTAGTGTTTTACACTACAATTTTTATTAAGCACAAATTGCAGTCCAACTTTAAGGACGAGCCCTCTCTGTGGGAACGGTGGTGCAATGTATGGCTGCTGCTGTTCTTGGCTGAGTGGGAGGGGGGAGGTAGGCCTGGTGATCTGAGAAGAGCACATCGGTACCTCCCGTCCTATATCCCACAAGCTTTGAAGGTGCTGAGGCGGTGGTGGATGACTGCTCTTGAGGTAGGGTCCACCGGTTGGCTTGAGCTATACCAGAGGATCATGTCCTCGGACATTTTGAAGCCACTGGCCTAGAGAGACTGCCTTGACAGTGTCCTCAGGGAGGGGCTAGCTCTGCTGAATTCTCCTAGAATTCCTCCTAAATTTTGGGATCTCGCATGGAGGTCGTTACATGGATGACTTTATGTCCATGCGAACCTGAAATACAGGAACCTGGAGGACAGGAGCTGTCCTCAGCCGGAATGTGGTGGGGCACTGGAGACCATGGACCACTTCTTGGTCCAGTGCCCTTTCAATGCGGAGGTTCACAGGGGGTAGGGGATGCCATTGGCTATCCCCGCTTCTCCTCTGTCTCTTCCTGAGCCGGTGTACGGCAACTTTAGGTTGGAGAGGTTTTGAGTTATCCACCCTTTACTTAGTGTGGTTGTGCTCTTCTACACGTGGCACACAGTGTCTTCTGTCCACTAGGGGCAAAATCCTGTCAGTCCATAAGGTGGGGGGGACACTGTCAGTGAGTTGGTGAAGGTGAGGAATCTTGAAAGGAGTAGGGTTGGGCCGGAAGGGAGTGCCTGTTTATGGAAGGGTTTCCACTTCAGCTTCCTTAGGTGCCAACACTTCTCCTTGTGGTGTTAGTCGTCTATCCTATCACACCCGCAGATTTTGTACACTCTACTTCTGATTTGTAATAGGGCTGCAGACATCTAAAAACTTATATGCTCTGCCTTGGCCTGGGTAGGTTTGGATTTGTGTTTTCTGCTTGGTATGCTCCTTGAAATAAAAGGCATAACTTCATGTGCATCCAGTTGCACATATTTGCATTACCATATGTATAGACTTGAGTGTTAGAAACCAGAACACACTGTGAGAATACACAGTAGCCTTGGCCAGGTATAGGGGCTGTAAAAACGCCCATTTGTGTGGCAGGGCACTGCCTATGGTTTTTGTTGGAATGGTTTCTTTCAAATCTTTCAGTTTAAGTATGAAGTATAAGTTTTATGCCGGTATGGTTTGTCTTTACATACCAGTGACATAGTGTGATGTTATGCAATGTTAAGCTGTCTGAAAGTAGCAGTTTTATAAATAAAAATAATTCCAGCCACAAGAATCTGCTGGCTGTATGTACCGTATTTTTCGCTCCATAAGACGCACCTAGGTTTTAGAGGCAGAAAAAAAAAAATTCAGGAAAAAAAAAAATTCTGAACTAATGGACTGCAGACATAGTAAGTACAGGAGATGACCAGAGACTGCGGACATAGTAGAGGAGATGAACAGAGACTGCAGACATAGTACAGGAGATGACCAGAGATTGCGGACACAGTACAGGAGATGACCAGAGACTGCGGACACAGTACAGGAGATGACCAAAGACTGCGGACATAGTACAGGAGATGACCTGAGACTGCGGACATAGTACAGGAGATGACCTGAAACTGCGGACACAGTACAGGAGATGACCAGGGACTGCGGACACGGTACAGGAGATGACCAGAGACTGCGGACACGGTACAGGAGATGACCAGAGACTGCGGACACGGTACAGGAGATGACCAGAGACTGCGGACACGGTACAGGAGATGACTGCTGACCTTTTGGGGAGGGGGGGAACAGGTACCTGAATTTGACAGGTACCCGCCCTTACTTCCGCGGATTTGTACTTTGATCTTACCTGTTCCTCTATCCAGCCGCGCGCTGTCTACCCGGCTTCTGTAGTGTGGGCGCTCGGCGGACAGCCGGGTCCCAAGTGCGCATGAGCGAGAAGCGCTGCGCTTTGTGATTGGACCGGCGGCTTCTGGGATCTGTCATGTGTCCCAGGTACCGCCTTACCATTCACAAAGAGCACCGCTTCTTGCGGATGCGCACTTGGGACCCAGCTGTCACGCACACTACAGAAGCCGGGAAGACAGCGCGCCGCTGGATAGAGGAACAGGTAAGGTCCCACTGCAGAGCTGAGCGGCTGGCCCGGTATTCTGACACGGCGGCGGTGGAAATACCGGACCGGCCGCTCCATATTCGCTCCATAAGACGCACTGACATTTTCCCTCCTTTTTTGGGGGGGAAAAAAGTGCGTCTTATGGAGCGAAAAATACGGTAAACGGCTGTGTGAAAGAGGACTAAGCATTTAATTGTACTTTGTGCATATGACAATGTATGTGAACGTAATCTATTAAAAACACTGCCAGAAAAGTTAAAATCTCCCTTAGAAGTCAGGATAGCGTATGCCTGTAATCATGCAACATCACGTGGAATGTATTAAAGGACCTTTTCCTATACCCTTTAACACTGGTTCCTTTGGACATGTTGCTACATGTGAAGCTGTGGGGTAATTTATTTAAATGGAAAAAGAGCCTTACTGTCTTCTGTTTTATGTCATAAAGTAGATCCCAGCAATTGTTAGAACTGGTAGTTGTACACAGAAGTGATTTCCAGTTGGTTCTCTCGGTGCTAAATAAATCATGAATCTAAATTAACCTAAGAAGAGAGGGATTACAAGTAAAGCAAAATGTATTGCTGCAGAAAGTTGTTTTTATACATTGAATGTTGATGTTCAGCTGCACTACAGCGTAGTGGAACTGAAGTTATATACCTGATTTTTTAATTGCAGTGACAGGCTTCACATATAGACGAGTTTAACTTTATGTTTAATGCCTTGGCCTTCCCTGACTCAACAAACCAAACAGAAAACCGTGTTCATGTAGGTAACCTCAAACCAAGGAAAAAAAGAAGAGAAGCTGCTTCTCACTTTCAAAAAAAAAAAATTATTCTGTAGTAAAACGCATGTTAAAGACCATAGTAGATGCATATAACAATAAAATAATTCTCCCTTCTCATCATTCCTCAAGTGACAAGGTGGCCTTTCTTAGTATTCCTCCTTCCATGGACATTGCAGTGTTTATCATCAGGTGGACACAGGTTCTGCATGATTGCTGTGTCATAGGACAATACTGTATCCTGATAGCTGGCAGCAGCTCTCAGAGTACCCGAACAGTAGCTGCATCTTATTGGATGCAGCCACTGTTTGGCCAACAATTGTTCAACCAAAGAATGTCGGACATGAGGGCGTCAACAGGCCACCCAATAATCCGACTCCTAATGAACCGGCCAAAATGTGAACAGTGTATGGCCAGCTTAAGGGCCTGTTCACATGAATGCAAATACACATGAATGGGCACACATCATAAAATATGCCTGGGAGCTCAATTTGGTAAATAAATCTGCCCATAGGACTGTAATGACAGAATACGCTGATATAGGTATAAGCCTGTAAACGCCTGTGCTTGTGTTTATACACGTATATGTGTATGGCTGTAATTTCCCTAACACTAAACTTCATATATTTTATGCTGTATGCCCATACACCTGTATTTGCATTGTGTGCATGAGCCCTTCTTCTAGTTCTCCACAGCTAGGTCTAGGGCACGCCAGAGGATTTAGATTACAGACTTCAGGAGGAGTATAGAGCTACCCCTGCTGGCTTGTTTTTATAAGGAACACACTGTGTTGCTAGGACCTTGATTTTGATTCTACATGACTCACTGAATTGAAACAAACATGGAGGATTAAAGTGTGTTGGTTTTTTTTTTTTTTAGACCTTTAGCCCCCATTCACACCGATGCTACTTGTCATGCGATTTGGCAGTTCAAATTGTTTGACAAGTCGCACCCTATGGTCGGCAGTGGAATTGGAGTCGCACTGATTTGAAAAGCAGTTCCTACACTGCTTTTGCTGATTTTTGGTGCTACTTGCATTATCATCTGTGTATGAAGTCACATAGATGTCTTACAAGTCGCACCGACATGCGTCTTTGAAATCATGCAACTTCAAGTTAAATCACACAATTTCAAAGTCATATTCAGTGTGAACCAGGACTTAGACTGGCTGAACTCTGGTGCCAATATTGTAATGAGATCCTACACTTTTAGCCTCCCCCATATTCACATCCTGACAAATTTACATAAAGGTAAATTGTTTCTTGAATGAGGATAGTTGTTATAATGTTACCTTAATTTATGATGTAACTTCCAACAAAAAAATTGCTCAGTGAGCATACAAAAATAGATTTGTCATATATAGGTGTTTATGATCTATTCTAGATCAATGTTTCTTAACATTTTTTTTTTAGCCAAGACACACTTTAAAATAGTGAACTCTCGAGGCACACTATTCTGACATGCAAAAAACGAAACTAATAGGTTTACCTATCTTGGCAGCATCCACACACGGGCCACCCAGCATTAGGGGTTATTTATTCCTCCACAATGGTACTGATTAGTATTCTGGCTTTTCTATTCTCCCTTTATTGTATCTTCCTCTCTCTTTCCCAATGAGACCCCAGTACTGACAAAGAGGGGCAAATAAGAATGATGCGCAGGTGCTTGATGTCCTCCTTATCAACCAATGATGGCATCAGTTGTTAGGATGCTAGTGGCTGACCCACACAGTGCCCAAGGTTGTAATGCTGCGCAATAAAAACGTGGCTGTGTGAAAACAAAATGCAGGCTGAACCTTGACTTGTTTACAGTTTATAAGTAATTTGGGGCAGTTTTTGTAGGCATTTTGTCAAGGTACCCCTAAAGAACACAAAAGGCACCCCGGAGGGGCTGATCTAGATTTCACAGTTTATGCAGCATGCTTGCTGAGCAACTGCAGGGATAAAAATCTATCACAATAAAATGTGTACGTTTCTTTCATTTTGCGTTTTTCCCTGACGAAGAACACTGCACTGAGAGGACAGAGAGAAATAAATCTTTGGGTTCCAGTGCTGACTGAAAGCAAATCATGCGTGTTACCTCATGTACAGTACATATGAGTAAGGTGGCTACACTCATATGTACTGTACACTTTGTATAGTAAAAGTGATTCCCTAAAATGCATATCTGTTCAAGGCCTTTGACTTTCATGCTGATTTGGGAAATATTATTACCTAGCTTCTTTCGCAGATGAGTTATTTCCAAGCACACACCTATATTCCTTGCTGTCTTTTATCATATACAGAAAGCTAGCTGCATCCAAGTGTCATTATTAAGCTCAGTGGGGCTTCTTTATCATAATTAGTTGTTTTCATACCTGCTTTGGAAGGCTGAATTTGATGACATAGCAAAAAAAAGAAAAAAGTTTAGTGTAGATTCATGAAGCAGACCAACCACCTTACGTGTGAGAAGTTCTGTGAAATCTTGCAGTTTGTACAGATTTAATTTTAGATTAATATTACCAAACTTCCTGATTTTAATACAGTTTCACTGTTGAATTATAACATTTGTTTGTTCACCAATAAGTTTAATTTGTGGACCCAAATTGCTTTGCCCAGGTTCTCTTCAAAGCTTCAAGAGGCAAGCTTTGATCAAGACAGCCAAATTATTTCTGGGAGTGGATTTGTGAAGTACTTTTTAAACACTCCCAGGTGATTAGACCTTATTTTCAGTCTGAACTTGTTTTAATTTTATTTACATCTTTGGTCGTACAGCCAACAGAAACTTTGGGAAATGCAGTGCTTGGAGAAAGTCTGAATATAATTTAAGCTGACCTCTACATTTAAGTCCAGTGTAGGTGAAACATGTCCTCCAACTGACACTAAAAATGGGGCACTGTTCCTCCCACTGACACCAACAATGGGGCACTATTTCACCCACTGACAATAGCAGTGGGGCATCATTCCTCCCACTGATGCCAATGATGGGGCACTATTCCTCCCACTGATGCCAATGATGGGGCACTATTCCTCCACTGATGCCAATGATGGGGCACTATTCCTCCCACTGATGCCAATGATGGGGCACTATTCCTCACACTGATGCCAACTGATGATGGGGCAGTATTCCTCCCAATGATTGGGAACTTTTCTTTTCCCTGATATGAACAATGGGGCACTATTCCTCCCACTGACAACAGCAATGGGACACCATTCCTTCCATTGATGCCAATGATGGGGTACTCTTCCTTACCCAGATTCCAACAATGGGTCACTATCTCTCCCACTGATTTCAATAATGGGGCATTGTTTACTCTCAGGGCATTTTCTACTCACACTGGCCACAGTCCAGACCCTGGAAGTCTAAAGGGCAGTAGACTGGCCCTTTGTTTGGAAAGTTTGGAGACCCTTGCTGTATTGTGTCTTAGAGCAAGATGTGCTTTGTTTCTACCAGCACCTGAATGCACAGTGTAAACCTGGGAGACTGATACTGTAGGATTGGTGCTGATTTGTTATGGTAATTACAAATAAAGCTGACCATACACAGGAAAAACTTTGATTCCTCCATATACGCTATACAGTGAGGAAGAATCAAATTTCCAATGCGGCTGTTGGAATACCCCAAATAGTTGCTGCGTCACTTTGGATACATCCGCTGTGGTAGGAAACCGGAGTACCCGGAGGAAACCCACGCAGGGGCAGAACATGCAAACTCCAGGCAGGTGTTGCCGTGGTTGGCATTCCAACTAACGATCCTAGTACTGCCAGGCGGAAGTGCTAACCATTTAGCCAGTGTGCTTCTTCTCAAAGCTTTGGCATATGCATTTGCAATACAAATCGGGATTTATATTGCTATCACAATTTCAAAGGAACCGTGTACTGAGAGAAATACATGGGTTGTTACCGTTTTTAACCACAGAAATACTAGCATGTTACACCCCCTTCCTGCCCAGGAAATACTGCTACAGGGCAGCACGGGTGCGCAAAATCACATACATATATACGTGATTTTGCATTTCCTGGTAGGGGGGCGCGCCGTACCCGCGCCGCCATTCGCAGCCGCGGCTGTCAATCACTGGG